TATTCTATACATCACCTGCTGTCTCAAATCAGGATAGAGCCCGCACACATGACACATGATGTACAATCTTGTTCTTGTTGACAGACAAAGCACACAAAACTTCGGTTCTGGAAAAGGATCTTCGCTGAGACGCAATGCAAGCACATGTTTAGGTCGATGCAAGGGAGACTTATCTCCTGTTAAACCAGCTAGACAGAGGCAGAGATCAGGTGAGTTTCTATTTTTCTTCTACGTATAAGATAGTAACTTATTTTCACTTATGGGAGAAAAGATGTCATAAGGAGCAATAAGTGTTAACTTCTTTCATCGCCATTAGCCTCATTGGCACCAGCTTTAAAAGAATTCAGAGTTTGAGAGAGCATTGAACACGATACCTAAAGAGCTCTCACTACATCTTGAATTTTGCTTGTTATCAATGCATATAGTAAAATTAGGGTTCCCATGTGTCAAGAGTGCTATTTGCTTTCATTTGGGTCGTACTTTTAATTTAGTAATTTCAATAGAGTATTTACACTATTTAGTTAGTTTTCTCCTTTTAAGGATATTTTCTGTGTGTAAAACTAGACACAGGCTTTGATCTAGAGATTTAATTTCCTCTTCCTTGTGATGTCTTCAGTTTATATTAAGTATGATGTTCAGGAGATGTTGATATGTTTTTTTGTGTGTGATACCTTAAAATTCATATCTGTTTCCATCCATTTCCCTGTTACATTCTTCTTCAAATCTGTCCTGCATGAACTTCAATTAGACTCTTAACAACTTAAAGGCAATCTCATTTTCATGCTCATCTGTTTTCTGTTGTTAGAACAGTTCATCATGTTTTGCTAGAACTTAATAGGCAAGCTTGATCGCCTTGCCCGCGTTTACACAAGTTCCATGCTTAGTAGGCTCAGTTGTTCTTATATGTTTTCATGCAAGCCTGACTTCACTTGATTAAGAGCTGATTACAAGTCGAGTGCTATATAAAATGTAACATGTATTCATTATTAGAGAAAGTATATTATGTTCAACTTATTGGAGTTCAATGTATCTAGACTTTTCTCTAATATTTGCTTCTATTTTTTATTTTTTTTGGGGGGGGGGGGGGGTTAGGCTTTGTTGCATGGGTGCATATCTATATATAGTACAATCACCAACTCATTGTCTTCAGATACGTTTTAATTTATGACTGATCAAGTAAATTTGGCGATGTGAAAATAATTTATCCAGGCAAGTGAATATGTATTCTATTGTGGAGTAAAACGACACGGGTAGGATTTGTGTCTTCCTTATTAATTGTTGTCATTTCTTTGTTTGTTTATTTACATGATTTATAGTCTGATACATTGGCAATCTTCTGTTAGTTGTGGTAAAAAGCACTATGTCCACAGCTGCCTATAAAAGATGGGAGAAGGCTGCAATAGCTGGAGTGTCTTTAGTTGCTGCTGCTGCTGCTGCTGCTGCTGCTGCGCATTTGGAGTAGACATCCTTGGATAAATTAGTCGATAGTGTACAATATGTGCAGGGCGAGTTTCCAATTTTACCGAGAGCTGCAAGGTTAATTTCTATTTTCTCTAAACTGAATGTCTGTTCTGCTTTTAGGAGACGAGGGTTTAGACCCTTTTGCAAAAGATATGCCCTGTGTACCAGCTTTTCATCAAAATAGGTTCTCCGGCATCAGTGTACAACCTTCAATGAAACTAAAACTTTATGTCTTACTGTTTGATGAAAGAATATGCCAAGCTTTGGAAATGGTAGGAACATATGAAACAAGTTTATGAGTTATCTTTAGAAGCGTACTAGTTTGATACTTGAGCTTCCTTGTGAGAAACTATTTTTGTGAAATTGAGCCGAGTATTTTCTCAGGACAATGACAACCCACATTAGCTCACGTGTTCTCGGAAGAAAATATCGTCAGTTTTGGAACATATGAGTCGTAAACGGGGAAGTTCTAGCATAGCATCTGGAGAACTTGTGCTTCTGCCTTAACTATGCTCAGAGTTTGAATCTCAGAGCTGTCAGAAATGGACTCAAGATTCAATTTTAAGTGTGGCAGATGTATATGAAGCACTTGGAAGCCCTCCTGTTTTCCGCTTTAAGGTTTTTATCCTCTTACACATATAAGTTTTAAGGACAAATTTCATATCCTACAAGAAAGTTTCATGTCTTGTTTCTTTTGAAGGTATGGTTGGTTTACGAATGCCGACTGTAGTTATGTGCCACTGCAAGAACCTCTACTAACTTGTGCTGCCCAAAGAATCAACATGAATGGTGTAGAGGTTGAGAATGTCGACGTAAATGTCAACCACCAGAGTGCAATATGGTTCCCCTGGATGTACACACAATGCCCAGTGCTTTTAATTCTGGGAAGTCACAGGAGCACGATGATAAGAAAGTCTCAGCTGGGATAGTTAATACTCCGGCAGCATCTTCTTCTGACCTTCCTTACCAGTGTGTTGACATAGGGTAAGTAAGAACTTTCCAGAGTGTTGTGCATCAGGCATGTCATGGCAAAGGCGAGATACGATAAATGGAGCCTTCAGTAGACGACTAGGACATATGGTACTCTTTTCTTTCTTGTGGCAAGTACCATGCTTTTTTAATCTGGAAACCTTTCCCATTTCACCGCGTTCAAAATTGCTTTCAACTCATATTTCGTTTACGCTCTGTATCTTGTTTCACAACATAGTCAGGTTGTGTAATTTTTGCTTGCTCCTATTGATATTAAACTGATACTAATTGTAGGACAAGGTATGTCACAAAAATGCAGCTCTGTCAATATTGGAACGGGCGGACAGCATTACAAACATAAGCGTCGGTGATCTACTCTCGGATGTATCTCATAACATAAATGCATCGGTCATCCACTACCGCCTAGCTTTCCTCCAGCAGGTTCCATTCAGCTGCGATTCGTTTGATGCTGCAATTGCTGTATCTTCCATTTGGGATGCAGAAGAAACATGTGATGCCTTCACATTTTATAAGAATATTGTTCTCTCCGAGAAATGGAGAAAGCACACACTTCCAAAGAGAATTGCAAACAGGATACTGCCATTGAGGTTTGAAATACTCTTTTAGTAATAATTTCATTTTCTTAGTGTTCTTTTTAATATGGTTAGACACGCGAGGCCAACTTGTCTTTTGTGAAACTTGAGCCCTCAATCTTCACGTTTGTGGGCTTTTAAATTGTGCATCGGTAACTAGTATGCCAGAGACCTTTTGGTTTTCTAGTGTTATTAGTTTTGCGCAATTAACTCTTGTATACATACTGCCAAATGCATCTTGATATGATGTAAAATGATTTTCTGTGGAAACTACCTGAAGCAGAGGAGCTTATGGAGGACTATCTTGCAGAAGTACATTCAATGGATGAGTGCCAGTCTGATGGGAATCTTGAGGCTCGCATGCTCACTGCTATATACTGTGTACGTATTTTTTCCCCTTGTTTTTCTTGTTCATTTGAGATTGCTTAAAGTCCAACCTGCGGTTCAGACTTTGTAGAATTTATTCTCTAGTTAAACTGTACAAGATTTATATCGCTTCACAGGTAATATTTGATCTTGTTATTTTATCTGCATCATGATCATGTTTAACCCAGTGAACTGTCCACCCAATAATTTTTCTGGGTCAATGAACAGTCTGGATTTTTAACATCAACCATATGATGTCATTTTGGTCTACTATGCATTTCTTGTTTCATTTGTTTGTACCATTCTTCATGAGACGAGCTAACGTTTTGTTTTCTTCAACTGCAGCCTGACTCCCTAGAACCGGTAGAAGTGGATGTACCTCCCTTTAGATATGAAAAGCGATGACCTTATATTGAGTTACAGCCTCTGTGGATTGACTCATATTCTAACCAGCAGCTCAGCCTTCAAAAATTATTCTTTCTTTGGAGAGAATCTGGATGAACACCAGTGGTAATGAGGAAATTGCTTTCTTCCCAGATGACAAAATCGATAGTTAAGTTGGAGATCCTTCTCGATCCATAATCAGCAACATGTTAATATAATTCCCTAACACCAACACCCGACCTTACAACACCTTTGTGAAGCCAATGCCATTCCTTCCGTTGCACAAGAGTTTCCTACATCGTACATTACAAAACCTGTTGATGCAGAGGCTCGTGATCCAGAGAGTTCCTGAGATGGGTTCTGCATAAAATATACAAGTCGTTGAAGAATCGCTCTGGATTTGATTGTGTTCCTTTGGTTTGTTGTTAGTTTTAGATGTAAAGTACAATGACCATATTAATATGGACTTTGTTGATGATCCTTGTGTAATATGATGTGTGCTCAAACGCAGATCAGACATCGGACCATTCGTGTCCGTGTAAACTTAATACGATTTAGGGCCATCAATCTTGGGTTTAGTTTTGGAAGGTGAATGTTGAATGATTAGCTGATTATGAACTTAACGAGAAGCAAACACCAAAACATTTATAGCCATTATCGACTCGTTTATCATGTCATTTTGATATAATAATGTTTAAATGGGCATCATTGAACGACTTTGTAATACCCCATAAATTAGATATCACTCTCCGAATCAGATATTTCGACCCTATAGCCTTGAGTTACACGAAATTATGAATATGAGATAATCCAAGAAGGAACGATCTAATTCTTAGGCACATAAATTAGATTACGTTACTGTAGGTTTTTTAAATATTCCAATCCTCATATTGAAGAGACAAAAAACGAGTATAAATGAGTACATATACTCCGAACCATCCACAAATGATAAGGATAAGACCAAAGACAGTTGGAAGGTTATGAATCTAGTCTTATATAAGTGTGCGTTTCGCACCTCCTAACTTGCATAAAAACTAAGCAAAGATCTTCTTTGGTTCTCGTATATTTACCCTTTACGCCAAATGAAATTGATGACACTGAAATCACTAACGGTAAGGACATTTTAGTCTTTTTATTTTTATTTATTTATTTATATCAATATCTTGTTTTATTTAAAATTGAATAAAAGCCTAAAAGAGGAAAATAAAATAAAATTACACAAAGAATAGAGTACCCCCACAAACCAAAATTTTGAACTCTCAAAAACTCATAGGCGAATTGTGTAAAGTAGAACTCTCCTTAACCGTGGGTTAACTTTTTGGGTCGGGATTGGGTTTGGATCGGTTCGAACACCACCATCGTCTTCGTCGGTCTTATTCTCTCTGGTAAGCGACCTTTTGCTCTTGTGCAATTCAATTGTTTTTATCGGAGTTCTTCATGCGCTTTTGTTTTTAATAATTGTTGGGGGTGGAATTTATGTTGGAACAGGCTTGATTTTGAATTGAATTTCACAAGGAATTTCTATATTTACGGAGTTTGCTAGGGCAAATTCGAGTTTAATTCTGATTCTTGATTAGCTAAATAGGTGAAGATTTGATCTGAATTCTTTTTGTTTAGATTCTGGTACTCTTTAGGGATTTACAATCGATGGAATTTCCAATTATCAAATTGCTATAGGTAAGAAATGCTAGCATCATTTTAAGAAGTTCAAGTTGATTTTTCAGGTGGGTGCATATATGTATATGCAAATTTTATTATATGAGATGAACTAACTGGAAATTGGGGACTGCATTCATTTTTATGTTTTTGATTTTTTTGTGAATTTTTTTCAAAATCATGAATTGTGTTTTTACTTGTTAGTATTAGAGATTGTGGCCAATTTGCTTTACTTTCCTGAACTTATGATTTTTTGATCACAACTACAATGATAAATGATGTTCAGTTGATGATGTTTTGGGCATGTATGGGCATCCCAAACTTTGAGAGTAGTACACATAACTTTAATGAATAATTTCATGGCTAAAACTTTATGTTGTTTGTAAAAGGTGGATGGAACGTAGGAAGCACTTGGACTCTAAGAACACCTTACACTTTGCACAACAAAGAAACATGTTTGGCACTTAGCAGAAACAAATCTTAAAAATATTAACATTATATTGAGCGCACAGGCTTGATTCATATCACACTGGCCAAATTCAAACTTTTTGAGAGGTAATGTAGTTTTGGTGCCTCCTAGCATCGACCTTTCTGATTAATTATCTGTGTTTTATTTACATGTTTGAAGTAGGTGTAGCATTATGTTTTATACCATACCTTCTCTAAGATGCATAAGCGCAGGAGTTCTGATAGGGTGCTGGATTTGTGAGAATGCTTACCATGATCTCGTAACTAATCACTAGCATACTTCCATCTTTAGATGCTAACTATTTTTATTTTGACTGAATCAGTTGTTGCATCTGTATGCAAACCAACTTGGAGATTGAAGGAAGTAGTTCACGAGATTTGAAGGTCAGAATGTCATGAAAGTCCCAGCATTTTATTGACATCTATACATGACAATGGAGTCACAAATTCCGTACCGAGAGGTGTCTGACCTACCGGAGAATGTATTTATTAAGGATGTAATCACATCTGAAACACATCATGTTGCATCTAATCAGCCAGGTACATTGTGGAAGATTTGATAGCTAATTTTTGTATCAATCTGCTTTAACATGATGTTCTCATTGTTGGTATACTTCATTCCCTGTTAGTTATTTTTGTAACTTTTAGTTGGTACAAAGCTTGGTATAAAATTTATTGGATTTTTAATTTAATCCAGCAAAGAAACAAACACGACAATGGGCTGCTTGGACACGTCAGGAAGAGGAAAGCTTCTTTAATGCTCTACGTCAAGTTGGCAAGGCAAGTTTCTAGTTGATCTATTTGTCGCTTGACTTCCTGAATTTATTGTTTGTCCTAACTGTTAATATTTTGTGCTGAGAGGGCGAAAAGCCTTATAAACGTAATATATGTCATTGCAGAATTTTGAGAAGATCACTTCTCGTGTTCAGAGTAAGAACAAGGACCAGGTTATTTTCTACAACTTCTGATTGCTGGTTATATCACCTTGTTCTTGACTGGTCTTACCTAAACCAAGTTAATGTTTATTCACATGTAACCAGGATAACTTGTTGCTTCTTACTTTCTTGTGTCCCTTTGACATTCATTTTACCGGTCTATTTCAGGTTAGACACTATTACTATCGTCTTGTCAGGCGTATGAACAAATTGCTAGGCCCAGAACTTTCTCTTGATGCCAAAAACTCCAAAGATACCAATGCTGCCATGCTTCGCTGGTAAGTAATCATCCCTGCTTTTTACATGATGATCCTCTTATTCCACCCAAGTGTACATCAGTACATCAGTGAGATGTCATAGCATAATGTAGCCTGTGAATAATGCTGTATGTCTCACTTATCTGTCTTGGCATTATGCCATTATACTATTACCAAAATTCTCTCAGTAAATTGCTAGAATGTCTTTCTAATTTCTTGTTCAAACTGAATATGTTCCTCCCTACCTTAATCGCAGCACCATAATTCACCAAGAGATTGTTTTCAGATATAAAGATAAATAGATCACTGAATTGTTTATGTAAAACAGTTAAAAGGCTACATGGATTTTCTATCATTTAACTTTTATGTCATATATTAATTAAATGTAAGCTAAATTCTATTCTTTCCTAGTCCCTTACGCTTAAACATTACGCATACACTACATTTCTGATTTTGACATGACGCTTGAGTTAAAGAACATCAAATGGAAGTTACCAAATATACCAAGTATGTTCAATCCAGTGGTAATTTAAACCATTTGTGCGAGCCTTGACATAGTGTGCATCATGTGCCAGTATTGGCTCCTCTTAGGAGTGAAACCATAACAATCATGAAATTGAATATGCAAGTAGTGTGATGGAATGAACTTGTCCATTGTCCGTGTATGGTTTTTCTTATTGGAACTTTCCAGAAGCAAGGGCCTGTTATTGTTTTTTGCTTAATTTTTAAGCAATGGCTGGAGATGGCTGAATCAGATAAGTCATCGTGTACCTCTTGTCCACATTCAGTGATCTTATTCCTGGCAGGTCTTAATAGTTAAAGAAAAAACCTTGAGTTATTTATTAGTATGGTCTAGTGCAATGATGCCACCATTTGAATTAGATTTTACTTTTAGTTACTCATAATAGCCTCAATATCTCTAAGAGATACAAGCTACTATGACACATTGATTACGATTATAAATTTTATTGTAATATTGTGTTAAATATCTTTGTTTACTTGAATTGTTTCTTTTGCAGGTGGTCGTTACTTGAAAAGCATAGCTGTAAAGCCTCAAAGCTTCACTTGAAGCCTCGGAGATTTAAAATTTTCTTGGAGACCTTGGTTAGTTAATTCTTGCAACTATATTTTTTGTTGTCTATTTTTGCATGTGATACTTGACAATTTTCTTGTCCCATGAAGGAGCACCAACTATTGAAAGACCGGAAGAAGAATATAAGAAAACGGCCTTTTAATGGGGAAAACTGTTCTATAACACCATCACATGCTGTCTCAAATCAGGGTAGACCCTGTGCACATGATGCTCGTATCAATCTTGTTCTTATCGACAGTCAAAGCACACAAAACTTGGGTTCTGGAAAAGGATCTTCGCTGAGGCGCAATGCAAGCACATGTTTAGATAGGAACAACTGCAAGGGAGACTTATCTCCTGTTAAACCAGCTAGACAGAGGAGGAGAGCAGGTGAGTTATATTTTTTTCTACGTGTAAGATCGTATCTTATATATACTTTTGGAAGAAAAGATGCCATAAGGCACAATCAATGTTAACTTCCGTTTATTGTGAAAAGACTCAATGCCACCAGCTTAGAAGAATTCACCTTGTGAGAGTGCCCTCAATTACATATATCTTGCTTGACTCTTGCCATATTGCTACCAGCCCTGCATGAAGGAGGACAGATAAGGTTGCACCCGTATTCATAACTTAAAAAGCTCTCATTATATTATTCAAATGGATTCAACTAAAAAGCCTGTTCCTATCATCGTAAACCGAATAGGCACCAAATCTCTGGAAGTAGGGGTAGGTTAGATCTTGAATTTATCATTGGAGGTGGCTGTTTTGGAGGTTATCTAGGACCAGTTTGGGAAGGCTAAAACATCTATTCGTTCTGATTGAATACAGAAAGGATTTAAGGATTGGAGCCGTTTATATACACTGGTTTTTGGAGTTTGAAATCCATGGCAGCGATTACATTAGCACAATATTGATGGTAGTAAACCTTTAGTTTGCTATAGCAGTCTATAAAATTTCTAGAAGTAGTATGATACCAAGAAGTTTAGTATTTGTACTGATAGGAGTAAAGCTCCAAGTAGCTTCCTTTAGTCAAGGATGGGCAGTTATTATATTAATAGATATATGGTATGAAAGTGTCTCGTCCTTGAGATTTTCACTTGTTTGGATGTTGTAAAAGAACGTCGGACTGAGAATTTTTTTGCCTTCTCCAAGAAAAGACCCTGAATTTAGCTTCCTATTAAGGCATATGAAAATAATGCCTCTAGGAACCAATTTGTGTACTTGGTAAAGCTATGTGCTCTCCAGGAACTTTTGCACCCTAAAAATATTCGCATGCAAGGCACAACTTACTTGAAAAACAAATGACCAACCATTTGTACAAATAGGATTGTTTAGGAGGATTTGGTTTAGAAGGCCTCTAATTGATGAGATCACTAAGCATAGCAATTTTATCAAAAGATTAATTGAATTTTTATTCAACCCTATAGAAATCTTTGATGGGGAAAACTTCAATTTTAGCAACAACAAAGTTGTTCAGCCATATTCATATGTTCTTTTGTTTATCTTGCTCTCATCTCTACCCTACCTGCTTCCACATCTCTCCTTGGCTCAAACCATTCAGGGGCTGTCTGGGATGTAAATGTCTAAAATCTTTCAAGAGATAACAAAGCTTTTCTTAAAGGCTAACAAACAATACTTGTTGCATGGGTAACTCTTTTTCAGACAGGTTTTAATTTATGATTAATCAAGTAAAATTGGAAAGGCGAACAGAATTTATTTTGGCAAGTGCATACCTATTTTATTGCCAAGTAAAACAACTCAAGTCACACTTTGGGATTTGTGCTTCTGTATTAATTTTTGATTGTTGTTATTTTATTCTTTGTTTATTTACATTACATGAGTGATACATTTGCAAGCTTTTGTTGGCTGTGTTAAAAAGGTACCGCGTCCACAGCTGCCTATAAAAGATGGGAGAAGGCTGCAATAGCTGGAGTGTCTTTAGTTGCTGATGCTGCTGCGCATTTGGAGCAGACATCGTTGGATAAATTAGTTGATAGTGTACAATATATGCAGGGTGAGTTTCCAATTTTACCAAGAGCTGCAAGGTCAATTTTCTATTCTCTCTAATCTGAACATCTGTTCTGCTTTCAGGAGAGAAGGGTTTAGACCCTGTTGCAAAAGATATGCCTTGTATACCATCTTTTCATCAAAATATGTTTTCTGGCACCAGTATACAACATTCAATGAAACTGAAACTTCAGCTCTTTCCGGTAGATGAAAGCATACGCAGAGCTTTGGAAATGGTAGGAGCATATGAAACAAGTTTTGGAGTTTTCTTTAAAAATGTACTGCTTTGATACTTGAGTTTCATTGTGAGAAACTGTGTTTGTGAATTGAGTCTAATATTTTCGCAGGACAATCACAACCCACATTTGGAGCTCACATTAAGTTCTCGGAAGAAAATATCGTCAGTTTTGGAACATATGAATCGTAAATGGGGAAGCTCTAGCATAGCATCTGGAGAACTAACACTTCTGCCTTACTATGCTCAGAGTTCGAATCTCATGAGCTGTCAGAAATGGACTCAAGATTCAATTTTAAGTGCAGCAGATGTATATGCTGCGCTTGGAAGCCCTCCGGTTTTCCGCTTAAGGTTTTTATCCTTCTACACGTTTAGCCTAAGGACTATTCTATATATATATCGTACAAGAAATTCTCATATGTTCTAGTTTCTTTTGAAGGTATGGTTGGTTTGCGAATGCCGATTGTAGGTATGTACCACTCCAAGGACCTCTAACAACTCATGCTGCCCAAAGAATCAACATGAATGGTGTAGAGGTTCAGAATGTTGACTTAACCAAATGCTCTCAACCACCTGAGTGCAGTATGGTTCCCCAAGATACATGCACAATCCCCGGTGCTTGTAATTCTGGAAAGTCATTGGATCATGATGATAAATTAGTCTCAGCTGGGAAAGTAAATACTCTGACAGCATCCTCTTCTAACCTTCCTGACAAGCCCATTGAGTGTGTTGATGTGGGTGTAAGTAAGAACTTTCCAGAGGGTTTTGACCATGCATCAGGGATGTCATGGCAAAGACGAGATACAAGAAATGGAGCCTTCAGTAGACGACTGGGACACATGGTACTGTTTTCTTTCTTTTGGCCCCATGTTTATGTGTCTAGGTTGACCAAATCACCCCAACCTGAAACCTTTCCATTTCAACTGAGTTTAAAATTGTACTAAACTCATATTTCATATCACGGCATAGTCATGCTAAGTTGTTTTTGCTTTTATTGGTACGAATCGTAGGACAAGGGATCTCACAAGAATGCAGCTCTGTCAATATTGGAATGGGCGGACAGCCTCACGAACATAAGCGTCAGTGATCTACTCTTGGATGCATCTCATAACATAAATCCATTACCTCCTGGCTCTCAATGTCTCCAGCAGATTCCATTCAGCTGCGATTCCTTTGATGCTGCAATTGCTGCTCATGTAAGTAAAAATCTTAACAGCAACACTGTCGAGCCCACCATTGTATCTTCCATTTGGGATGCAGAAGAAACATGTGATGCCTTTACGTTCCGTAAGAATAATGATCTCTCTGAGAAAACACACACATCCAAAGAAAATTGCAAACAGGACACGTCTACAAGTCTAGTTCCATCAGGCTCCGCCATTGAGGTTTGAAATTTGCTTTTTAGTTTCAGTTTTTTATTTAGTCAAACACACACACACTTGTTTGCGAGACTCAAACCCCAACCTTCAAGCTGTTGGCTTTTAACCGGTGTACCAGTTACTACTAGGCCGAAGACGTTTTGGTTTTCGAGTGTTCTTGGTTCTGCGCAGTTAATTATCGTATACATATTGCCAAATGCATCTTGATTGATATAATGTACTTCCTATTATTCTCTGTAGAAACTAGTTGAAGCCGAGGAGCCTATGGAGGATCATCCTGCAGAAGCACATTCAATGGATGAGTGTCAGTTGTCTGATGGGAATCCCGAGGATGGTTCTGCAAAGGATCTGCGGACGCTAACTGATATGTACTGGGTACGTGTTTAGTTTTCATTCTCGCAGTCGATTATTTGGGATTGCTTATATCTATTTAACATATTTTGTTGTTGGATTTCAGCCGGAGTCATTAGGACCTTTAGAAGTGGATGTAGCTCCGTGTAGATATCAAAGCGATGACCTTATATTAAGCGACGGATTGAGTCGTATTCTAAGTAGCAGCCTTGACGCGTTTCAAAATTTTTCTTTGTTTGGATTGGAACAGCAGAGAGAAGGTGGATCAATTGAAGATGACAAGATCCATGATAGTAGAGTTTAAGATACATGGCTGCTGCTGCTGCTCCTCGATAACCTTTTTCACGTTAATATAATCCCCCTAACACCTACACCGACACCTCTCGTTTATTTTCTCACTGATGTTTCCAAATGTAGTATATAAGTAAAATGATGCGACGATTGTCGAGTCTCTGGCAAGATTTTTCCAGTTGTGAAATCTGGATTTGTGTGTGTTAGTTTTTACATGTAGACTAATATGGGAGGTTTTGTAATATGTTGTGCGCTCAAAGCTACAATTTTTTTTTTTTTTTGAAGGAATCAGAACTACAAATTTTATTAACCAAAATTTGTGTTTACATATAAATATGACGTTTGTATTTGTAAATAAGCTGGTCAAATGCTGTTCGAAAAAAGTATTGACCGGCCCCACAGTCTGAACAAAAATAAGTCTGATGTGGTCCAGGTCAATTACTGTGGTCCGTTTTAAGAAAAAAGAGGGAAATAAATTAATGGATTTAAAAAAAGGAAAAATAATTTAAATTTAAAATGAGTCTGAAAAATACAGGTGTCTATCGTGTTCAACCAAAAAAATCTAATGGAGAAAGGACGGGAGGTACGCACTAATGACGTCATAAACTGGTTTTTGTTTGACCCGGTTTGCACCAATCTAAATGCGCTCTCTCCCTAGGTTTATGATGACAACCTCTAAATATAATAACTATTTTTTCCATGATAAATTTTATAAGAATTTTTCCTTCTAAATCTAAATGATTTCTTAATAACAAGCTTTTTGATTTTTTTTCTGGTTTGGTTAAAATAATCAAATGGGTAAAAACCATGGTTCTAAATAATTCATTATGATATCGTCGTGGTGTCAAGGTTTGGGTTTGCCACCATGTTAACCTCCATGGCTCCACTCTAAGGTTTTGGTTGCATTATGGCATGCTACGACACATTGAGACATGTTATTTTTTAAAGTGTTGGTTACTTTAAGAAATAACTTGAAGGGATAAATGATAAATACATAGAGACTTAAAGGCTCAAATAAAGAAAATAAACTTAAAAGCTAAAACCTTAAATAGGTAAAAACTTACTTATATTCCTGTACACTAAACGTCGAGCATGAATTCTTTGAAAATTGAAGAAAGTAGTGAGTAGAGATTCAAAGATTCAATCCCAATTTAGCACTCTTGGTATCATTTTTATAAGCTCTATATAACTGGTATCAATGGTTTTTCTTTACTTTTCAGTTTTATTACTTTATATATGGATTTATTTATTCTACAGGATTATTCAAAACATTAACACAGAGAAATATGTGCATACATACGGCGCTTCAGGTCACGTCTTGAAAAATGTAATGGCCTCGCCGTAACTCGTAAGGCTTGACTTCGCTGTTATGCCACGTCTCACATCATCTAAAACCTTGGTAAAAACAGGTTAGGAAACGAGGGGTAGAATTGACATGTGATAGACATGCATAGGACCGCTATCCTGAATCAGTAAAGATTGAGGACCGGTCCTTTTTAAAAAAAGTCCAACCTAAAGGTTGGTTATAGGTGAAAGCATGTTCGGATCCATAATGTTTGAATTTGGGACCGGTTCTTAACCGGCTAAAAAAGTCCAAAAACTGGTCATTGGTTACTCAAAAACCAGTCGAGTTAAGGTTCGTTTAAAGCTTGGTTAAAGCCCAAAAACCGGTGAAGCTTGGTTAAGGTTCGATCAAAGCTTGCTTTTACCTAAATTATTTATTTTGACTAAGATATCTAAATAATATCAAAACAACAATTTATGGTCATAAATAGTAAAATAAATGCGCACTAAGATTTCCAAACATAAAAAAGGAAGCTGTTTCCAATGTGCACAAATAAACAACTGCTGCTATGAAACAAGACTAGATGAAAATAACAAAAAGAAAAATGTACAACATACACACACACATACAGAGACACACACCCCTGTATCCATGAATATATATATATATATATATATATATATATTCTCGGAGTCGGTCGTGTGAACCTGTTATCTCGGATGATTTAGAGCGTGAGCATTCTCGTGATTAGTTTTGGAAGGTGAATGTTGAGTGCTAAGCTGATGAGGAACTTAACAACATGTGCACAGAAGCAAACACCAAAGCATTTAGCCATCGCTGACTCCTCGCTCATCACTGTAAAAGTAAAACACAACCAGTTACCAAGCGGAAGGTTTTCCTTTTTATCATGTATACGTTATGTGTTCAACGTCTTGTTACCTTTTAAAGCCAACGTGTTGGATGACAAGACAAATATATCAATTATGAAAATCACCGAAGAAGGAAATTCCCACACCTGAAAATATCAAAATCAAACTCAACATCAGTTCTACTATGATTTGAGGAGAAATTGGATGCTTGATGTTTTGAACAACAAATCATACCATCATTGCAATAAGAAACATTTTCAAGTAGCTTGAGGCAAGTATGGCGAGCAATATGTTTTTGTACCTGTAAAGTTGGATAAATATAAACCATGTAAAGATTTTATAATCATATAGCAAAAGCTTCCAACAATAATATGATCATACAACAGATCTTAAATGAATAAAGACTCTAATAAAACGCAGAACAATACCAACATCTGCTTACCCGGAGACTTCAACAGGCATATTCAACAAAGATCTTGTTCCAAGAAGTAATATACCGATAAACGAAAGATTTCCAAGAAAGGTGTCTAGCAATATCTGTAATCACAATGCAAATGCTTCACTCAGAAGTAATCCAGTTTTTACGTCCAATATTTGATATAAATAAATATTTAAGCATAAAAATAAAGATACATAGACCTTTCCACATCCCCAGCTCAATGAAGCTAAGCTTGGATCTGAACCCCAACCCTCTTCATTTGTACTTAGAATGGAGATTCTGTCTTAAGGCAGCTAAGGGTAACAATATTAAGTACTTGATTATCGAATTACTCGCTGAATGAGATTGTTGAGCATTATCAAGTGTTATAAAATGGATACAAGCATCCAAGAGAAGAAACCCAAAAGTCGACTTCCATATCAGTCCCTGCAATCATGTGCCACATCATTAGTACAATGTCCAGACTTTTTTTTTTATTAACCTGGATATCCAACCCGCTATACGAGCCAACTAATCTCAGGGCGACCACCTGTTATGCGAGCCTACAATGTCCAGACTTATAATCAAGGGAGAGTTGTTTAGCTGCTAGCAAGTCCAAAATAAACCAATGATTAATTTTTCACCAACAAAAGGATATACTCCCTCCGTCCTATGAAACTTAGAACATGTTCGCTTTTATGTCCCATGGAAATAGCAATATTTCCTTTTTTGGTGGACAAATCACAAGTCAAACCTATTTTCCAAACTAATCGTACCCTATATATCTCATTCGATAGGTACGGATTGTAGGGTATATGCAGACTTTTCCTCTACCCGAGGGATGTTTGTTGGATCTATAAAGAAGGCAGGCTTCATGCGTTCTGGGTATGTAACGAAAATGATTACCTTAATCACTGAAAAGGATTTCAAACAACTAACTGGAACTTGTGTACAGTTAGTGATATGTAGAAAACCATCTGTACCTCAAAGTTCATAGCTTCCCGATCAAACATGTTGTAGAACAGATGTCTATATGCCTTTGCCTTGTGAAGAATCAAATCGATTAGAAGAATCTAAAAAAAAGTGCACGTTAGGGTTAGTAGAGCTATGACTAAACCAATTGATAAAAATATCATACAAACGCCAAAATATCAAAATGGACTCTTTTACCATGATCTCACATTCAATGTACTCGTCTGCAACTGCTCTGCAATTTTTCTGTCATCACGATTTTAATGAACCTTTTTATATAAATTAGCATTTAAATGGATAAAGCCATAAATAGTTATGATTAAAACTGAAAAAAAAGAACTTACACATTTCATTAGGCGAATATTTCCTGGTGAATATTGCACGTATAGGATTTTAATATGATATCCACACTGGACACATCGGAAATTCATCTCTTTCAATCAACTGCTTGTCCTCGCTGGAAACAGTACCAAATGAGACCGACAACCATTGGCAATTAACACTCTATACAAAAATTTGCATTAACATTTTCTCAAAATCCAAGTTTCAAAGTTCTCCCGACTCATAATTGCTTCTTCCTAAGATAATTCAGAAGTTAAATTCAAGAAAGTAGCTCATATGATATTCACTATCCACACAGTTTTATAAACAACTTACTGGAACATGTAGGTCCAATAAACTAACATCAACTTGAAAGCCTATAAATTATGAATACAACGGACATATCTTTTAACATTAACAATGAGTTATAGCTTGCTGCCTTAAGATAGCATAACAGTAGCTTCCTTTCGATGTTTGTATGTATGTATGTATGTATAAATGTATATATATATATAGTAAATGATAGACTTTCAAGATCATAAGCATCACTGAACCAATTGCAACTCCATATATGATAGCTAGCATTTGGGAGCACCTAAATCAAAGCCAAAAAGTGTTGTCTTAACTCAGCTTATTTAGTTCAATTCTTAACCAGACTTTGCTCAATTTCTAATTTAAAACAACAGCAAGCCAGATTCCTTAAACATACCCACAATATAATTGTTCCCTAAATCTTTTTGAAGTATATAATATTTATATACGGCAAATAGAACAAATAAACTCACACACCCTCCCACCTTTGGTGAGGTTTGAACCCTTGTCCTCCTAGACTCACATACCGCTAGGCCAAAGGCCCTTTGGTTGTTCCCTAAGGTAGTGTTTGGTACGCAGACTGGACGGGACGAGACAGGAGTAATTGTTTGTCCCATGTTTGGTACAACTAGAACAGGACAGGACAAAACTGTTAAAATGACCATATTACCCTTAAATGTTCTTCAATATTATTTTATATCATATAATAATTGTAAAATGACAACAAATCACCCAAAATATATTTTAATTACATAGTTTTTACAATCAAGTTTAATACATTAAATATTACCCACAAATAACATTTGTCATACCACAAGACATAAGGATTCATGAGCATAGGCAATTACAAAGTTTCATATTAGAAACAGAGGCTGATTAACATCTACCCACAGGTATATTAGAAACAAAGCATTAGCATCTACCCACAGGTATATTAGAAAAGAAGTGGGATTAACAGTTTCATATCACACATATTCTACCCACAATCTACCAAAAGAAATCGATGCCAAAAGAAATCGACCCAGAGGGGGATTTTGTTAGGGTTTACCAAAAATCTACCAAAAGAGAAATCGATGCCAGCAAAAGAGAAATCGATGCCAGCAAAAAGAAATCGATGCCAGCAAAAAGAAATCGATACAGCAAAAAGAAATTGATGCCAAAAGAGAAATCATACCGATATGGAAGGAGCCGGTGGAAGGAGGCGGTGGAAGGAGGCGATGTGGTAGTGGAACTGGTGTGGGTGTGAAAGAGACGAGGGCAATTTTTTATTGGGTAAGGGTAAGGTAGCTAAATTCTTATTTAGTTCTATGTTGTTTCATCTTTTTTGGATGTAACAAAAATCATCAATTTTTGTCCCAGTAAATTTAAAAATAGTTTTATTTTGTCCCATGTAATTTTTTGTCTTATGGCATGTAAAAAATGAGACTATTTTTTTTTGTCCCGTCCCGTCCAGTCTGCATACCAAACGCATTAAATCTTCCATTTTTTTACATAACAAAACTTGTTAAACTAATTTGTTGTCACCGGTTAAACCTGGTAAGGATTGCAAATTGAATTCATCGACTTGAATGCAAATACATACAATAAGCATAGACTACTTATTACAGATCAAATTCATTTAACTGCATCAAAAAAAATTACCTCGCAATTGCAAATGTAAATCCCATCATTTAGACAATTTCAGTTACAACTCAGCTACTCTAACATCCTTAATCAGCTATAGAACAAATTAAGAACATAAATTGCACAAATAACAGTAAGAAAAAAAAGTGTATTGCTTACCTTTCTTAATAATCAACCAACGATCCCACCAGAGCCAATCCTGAGGTTTCTGATGCCCACGGCTATAAGCCAAAAAATGCCCCTAATATATAAAAAAGCAAACAAAACATAATATTTTAAAGGGGTTTAAGAGGAGGCAGGGAATATGTTCTAGAGTGGTCCTCTAAAATAAAACAAAAATGGCATATTTGATAAAATATTTTTAAGGGGTTTAGGTTGTGCTTAAGTAGTTTATCAATGAATCCAAAAATCCCCAACTACAAGTATTTTTTGCAACTATCACCCAAAATAATCTGCATCTCCTTGGAGAATACCCTGAGACCAACCAGCATGTTATGCACTCCTAAAGTCCGTCCAACCAACATGATGAAAAATCTCTATCATTTTGTGTAAATTCGACTTCCGCAAATCCCAGGATCCACATTCAAACAAATCAACACAAAAACGTCAAAGTTTAAGTTCCCCACATTCAAACTAAATATGTAAACTGTAATCACTAATGTGTATGCGTTAGACTTTCATCCAAGATAACAGAAGCATCAATCATATAAGCATATTCCAATCCAAACATGTCAATTACTCAAGTCTAAGTCTCTAAGGATCGGTTACTGCGCTTAATAAACCCTATAACTTTCAACTTACAGAGAATTGGAGAGGTGAAACTGTAAGAGGCAGAGAAGCAACACAACAGGCCGCTGGAGGCCGGACGCCGAGAGCTTGAAGTCGGGACTCGGGAATTGGTTTCGGAGTTCGGTGAGTGCATGATTCGAGAAGATGGTTGTAGCTATGTTGTGGGCCAGAAGCAGCATCCAAAACCCATCATACCATCATTAATGGGCTCTAAGCGTCTCCACAAAAAAAAAAAAAAAAAAACAAAAAACAAAAAAAAACCACCCATCAATTAAAAAAGAGTGAGATCGAGGACAGAAGCCAACAACGTGATAGGCGATATCGAACACACAATGACGATGACGAGGGGAGTGATACGGATGTTCGTGTGGGCTTTGACTGGTGTAGGGTTTGGGAATGGTAAAACTGGTTTAGGTTTCTTTCGTACTTTAAAACCTTCCTAGTCAGTTACAAATAGTTTTTTTGGGTTAAAATAATATTAATTAACTAATTTTTAAAAGTTCATTGATTTATTTTATTGAAAAAATGTTCAAGGACTTAATAATTCAAAAAAAAAAAGTTTAATGGTTTTTCATTTAAAACAATAATTTAAAAACTTAATTATTTAAAATGGAACTATTTAATGATTTTTTTATTCAAAAAATAATTCAAGAATTTTATCATTCAAAATTGAATATTTTATTACGTTTTTTTAACCTTTCCTTAAAAGATTGGCGATAAGAATTTATTTCTTTTATTTTTTTAACTATGTATTAAAATATGAATTTATTATTTCTACAAGAGATATTATCCTCTAATCTTTTTATTAATGTGATTCAGTTTAATTTAAAAACTTTTTTAAATGAAAAAACCATTAATCTTTCTGTTTTAAATGATTAATTTGTAGAACATTTTTTAATAAATAAAGCATCAAATTGATTACCTACATCTTTTTAATCTAGAAAAAGTTACATGTGATCGATTAGTAAAAGTTTGATGATTTATTTATTAAAGAAAAATTTCACTGTCTTAATCATTCAAAATGAAAAAGTCTTATGATTTTCATCGAAAATAAAAATAATTTAATAATTTTTTCATTCAAAAAAATAGTTCAAGACTTAAATCATTCAAAACAAGAAAGCTTAACCATTTTTTCATTCAAAAAAAATTTAAGAATTAAATCATCTAAAATGGAAAAGTTGATTGAGATTTTTTGGACTTTTCATTAAGATAATATTATAAATAATAATAATTAAATTGATTTGTTTTAATATATATAAACTATAAAATAAATTAATTTGTATTTATAGTATTAATTAATTTTTTTAATTGTTTTGCACTTCATCCTTATGTGTTTAAACATTTTTTTATTATGATATTTATTTGTACTATATTGTATTTTTCTTATAGATATCTATTATATTATATATTTTAAAAAATCGATAATATTTGTGTTATATGGTTGATTTTAATCTATTTAATATTTGTTATTGTAATTTTTTATTATATAATTATAAACATGTCTTACTATATAATAAAAAGTCTGTAAGGACTTGTTTGTTTTTATAAAAAAATTCTTATTAATTTTTTATATTTGATTTTTTAAGAGGTAAGACTATTGAAACTCTTATTAATTTTCAAATTTTCAACAACGACATTTCTCAATCGATTAACCTTAATCGATCATTTCTTTCAATCAATCCTTACCAAATCAATCCTCACGCCTCTCAATTGATGTATTTTAATACAATTTAAATGTGTTGAATACGTCATATATTTTTGTTAAAATGAATGTTAATTATATAATTTAGATGTAAATTTCATAACGACGATGAATAAATATGTAAAATTTTATAAATTCAACAATATAAATTTTTAATGGGTAAAATAGACAATTTAAACAAATTCAGACGTTTATCAGTTTACAAAAACAAACGATCTTAATGATTCAGATTTCAGGCTTCAACATTATCTCTTTTGATTGCTTCGCGATCTTTTATAAATCAAAAATAAATAAGATTTTAGTATAGGTTCCCGATTGGGAGATGCTTTTAGCATAAGCGATAAGACCACCGCTCACGTTTTAAAAAAATGGTGATAACCATTTAAAAAATATCACGGCGGCAAACTAAGCCGCAATCTCTAACCATATATCATCCCTCAGCTCGGATGGAGTTTCTGCTTCTGCATACAGCCGGAAACCATCAACTGCAGCACAACACCGCCCGGAATGTCTGATCAGAGAACTGCAAATCCTCATGCCATATTCATACCATACCCTCTCCAAGGTCACTTGATCCCTTCTGTTCAACTTGCCATTAAGCTAGCATCAAACGGATTCACCATCACTTTCATCAACACTCAATCCATCCACCATACTCTCACCAAATCCTCCACCACCACCCAAGATGTTTTTGCAGAGGCACGGAAATCGGGTCTGGATATTAGGTACGCCACCGTGAGCGATGGTCTTCCGCTAGGGTTTGATCGATCCCTGAATCATGACCAATACATGGAATCTCTTTTCCACGTATTTTCGGCTCATGTGGATGAACTTGTGGGGAATCTCGTGAAATATGATCCATCCATCACCTGTTTGATTGCGGACAGCTTTTTTGTGTGGCCATCGATGATCTCAAACAAGTATAAGTTGCTCAATATTTCATTTTGGATTGAACCAGCTTTGATTTTGACCTTGTACTATCACTTGGATTTGCTCAAGAAAAATGGACACTATGATCCACTTGGTACATCTCTCTCTTTAACAATATGTGTGTGTATATATATATATATATATCTTTATTCATTTGATCATGAGTTTATATATATCTACATATTGAATAATTGCCATAAAAAATCCTCATAACATTCGATGGTCATCCTCAAACGCATGCATGATACTTCAAAGCTCGAGCTATTCACAAACGTACGTCCCAAGATCAAGCTCAAGCTCAAATATACCTTGCATTTTCATGCATTGTCATATATAATTCATCTAGATAAGTAAATGTACATCGGAGTTCGCAAAATGTAGGGATAGTGTGAATTACACAAAATAAGAAATCATGTCCACATTTGCATATTTGATAAAGATGAGGGTTTTTTTTGGCATGCATCCAAGTATATATAAGATAAATTTGCCTTATCACAACAGTGGTTTTGTCTTTATGCATATATTTGCCTTATCACAACAATGGTTTTGTTTTTATGCATATTATTGCTGTACATGTTGTCTTACTATTTATAGAAACTGAAATTTCTACTTGTTTTTTATGATAATCAGATAAGTTTGACGATGTAATAGATTACATACCTGGGGTTACTTCAATCAAACCAACGGACTTGATGTCATATCTCCAAGCTGCTGATACAAACACTGTCGTTCATCGCATCATACACAAGTCGTTGTTCGAGGCTACAAAGAAAGCTGATTTCATCATATGTAACACAATACAAGAGCTTGAATCTCATACAATTTGGACACTGAATCATATGCAACCCTTTTATGCGATTGGTCCGCTTTTCCCTGATGGCTTCACTCAAGAACTCGTGTCCACAAGCTTATGGTCCGAATCAGATTGCACAAGTTGGCTCGATCACAGACCACCCAAGTCGGTCTTGTATGTTTCATTTGGTAGCTATGCTCACACCAGCAAACATGAGCTTGCAGAGATAGCTTATGGGCTCGTACGAAGTGGGGTTAGTTTCATTTGGGTGCTTCGGCCCGATATCGTGAGTTCTAATGACGATGCTTTGCCATTTGGGTTTGAAGATCAAGTTAAAGATCAAGGGTTGATTGTGCCTTGGTGTAATCAGAAGACTACTATTTCGCACGGGTCAATTGGAGGGTTTCTTACGCATTGTGGGTGGAATTCCATTTTGGAAAGTATTTGGTGTGGGGTGCCTTTGATTTGTTTCCCACTTTTGACTGATCAATTTACTAACAGGAAGTTAGTAGTTGATGACTGGAAAATTGGGATGAATTCATGTGATGAGAATTTGAAGGTTGAAAGAGAGGAGGTGTCAAAGAAAGTCAAAGATTTGATGATAGGAATAAAGTCAAATGAAGTGAGGAATGGGGTCAAGAAAGTTCAAAAAACACTGCAAGATGCACTGGGCAAAAGTGGATCATCTCAAACAAATTTCAACCGATTCATCAGCGAACTCAAAGTTAAAATGAGATGAATTAGTTGCCATTTCTTGGGGTATATAATAAAAGGAGGTGAAAACGAGAATAAATAATTAAATAAAAGAATACATCATCATGTGTAAAATCATATATGGTTTTATATCACCAGTTAACACAAGCGTGTATACCGGTGATGTGTCCTACGATCTCAGGTTGTGACTAAAGTCATACGAATCACATATGATTTTACATACGATTTTAGCGGTCAATACAGACATTTGCAAAGAGGTGGAGAGACTAACACTTTCAATTCGTGAAAAGATTATTATTATATGTGAAGGGACATGATGAAGTACCAAAGTTTTAATATTACATGTGATGAAATACGATATAATATATGATTGATTATGATAAAAAAAGTGTTGATGCATTTTTATAAGACAAATGTATTCTTGTTTCATAGTTGTCAATTATATATGTTAATGTTTGTATATATATTGTTACTTAAAATTCAAGATTACAAGTAATTTTACGTAAGTACAACTTATTAAAACTTCATTTTTAAATTCATGTAATTAACTGTAGATAAACATAATCAAATATAGGATAAACATTCATTTTAAATATATAAAATCTAAAATATAATTAAGATAATTATTGAGTTTTAATTTAAT